TGAATATGTCGACATTGAGTTAATAACTGATTAAAATATGATTTCTCATTTGTTATTAGTTTTGATTTCACTGCATCATCTAGAAAAATGAGTGAATGCAAAAATTCTCTATCAAAATTTGAAATAGAAAGTGTTTCAAATAATTCATCCCGTTGTTTATCAATAATTTTATCCTCTAATCCTTGCTTCTTGATTGTATTATATAATTCTTTATACATTAAAAAGTTTTTTAAATAATCTTCTGCTTCTTCTTGTGATAAATAAATAATTGGAATTTTGATTAAATGCTTTAAAGATTCAAATGTATCATCTGAAGGTGAACCTGAACGGTTGATATAAATTAACACGTGTGAATAGGGGGAAGTGTTAGCAATAATGATAATTTGTTTAATATCGTTAATGTTTTACCTTTATTCTGTTTACCAATTGCTGCAGTGATTGAATTTAAGTAACATTCAGAATATGGAATTTTCATTAATTTTTCCTTAGATAGAGCATTTCTATTATCACTCAATGCTTCATTAATCATATCATCTATGTATGTATTATATACTCCTGCTAATTCTTCATAAGGGTGGATGAATTTAAATCCATTTAATCAAAAATAAATTTATAATTTTAAACATTTCTATTCATCAATATTTCATCATATGAACTTCTATACTGTGGTGGTGTACCTGTTGGATGATATTTCAAACCTTCATCCGGTGTCCATGTCCAATATGTAGTCCTAGTAAACCAAACCTGAGGAGGATTTGTCACCTTTGAACAGTAAGTGTCATTTTCACCCTGAATGATTGGATAAGCTTTCACTTGTACTGTAACTTGTGAGTTGAAAGTTTCTAATCCATCAAAGAATATACCCGCTCCATCACGTTGAACTGGAATAGTGCATAAGAATGAAGTTTGGTCTTTCCATGTTCTAGCTAATGGCGTGCCATCATCTGCATTCAGTGGTCTAGTTAATGAGTCCTCGTATTCTTCTGTGCATTCATTCACTCCATCTAAATCAGAAGCTTGAAGCATACGTGTAAAGAATATGTCGCCCACTGTGGTCATCGCTTGATCGGGGAAGTTTCTGGAATCTATAGTGACCTGAAGACCTCGAAGCATTGGATTTTCTAAAACTGTTCTTTGCATTGCATTCTTCGGAAATGCTAACACAACATCTGTAACATTATGAAGAGCGTATGAGAAATCTGAGCTAATACCTTCAGGAGTGATGCAACCTCCATTTAGTGAACGAACGTCAATATGTTGAGCTGGAATCATGAATGGATCTTCCTTACTGAATAAACGTGGTATTGCTTTAACTGATTCTTCAATTAAACCGTATCCTGGTGTAATGCATTTATCCTCTAAAACTTCCATCTTTGTGCATGAAATAATAACGTCATCAACTGTTGCGTCAGCAGATGTAGCGGCTAAGCTTGTAATTAATTTGGCAGGAAGTCCGATTTGTTGGAATTTGCGATCATATTTATAAACATGATTCATAATCTTTTCATAATTTTCATCAGTTATCTTTTCATAAACGTAATTTTGTAAATCAGCAACTCTTAACGGGTCAACTTGACAAAATACTAAAGTATCCCTGAAAACATAATATTTAAGAATGATATCACCAAATGATTTAGGATAATCATCGAACGCCTGAAATGCTAACAAATCATTTACCGGAATAATCATATCAAAAGTGACATCAACTTCTTCATTTGCTTTCTTGAAAACTTCTGAAGGGTCAATATATTTACCACATACTGAGTTATCATATTTTTGAACATTATTATATAACGAATGAACAAACTTTTTAACTTTCCTTTCTGATTTTGGTTTATATGTTGCAAATGCGAAAGATTCACGGGCGCAATCCATCTGAAGATAACCGGCATCACCTCTTTCGGTTTCTACTTCTAATTGTTTAAAGCTTTGATTTGATGATTTGTAACCAACGAATAAACGCATGCATTTAAAAGCGACATCACATGTGAAAGCTTTATTTGAAACAAGAGTTGCTTTAACTTTGCGTTTAATATATGTGTCACCTAATTGGTTCACATCATGAGCCGGATTTGTAATTCTTAAATGAGTTTGTTTATCATCAAAATATGGAGCATCAGAGTCATAGCATGAACTTTCAAGTTCTCTATAATATCTTCTACCATCATTCTTTGCGAATATTTCATTTATCTTTTCGAATGAATGAAATACATTTCCATTAATCGGTTTAGTGTTTGGTACCAAATATAGGGTGTCCAAAGGTGTGTTTAGCACAAACCTGAATACTGCGAATAGAAATAAACAAGTTACATATATATAAAGTTTATTTAAATATAATCACCATTGGATTCAATCACGCGTTCGCAGCGATCGATCCAGGCTTGAAAGACACGCTTTAAATCATCATGAGAAAATTGCTCAAATTGCTCTCTTACAAAATTTTCAAGATCATCTGGACTCGCGAATTCGCGTCCTTCAGCTCTCTTTTTTAGCGTGCCGAATAAATAAAAGTCAGAGGGTGCAATATCAGGTGAATAAATTGGGTTTGGAACAACTTTGACATTGTTTTCCACCAAGTAATTCATTACCTTATGACTTTTGTGAACTCTTGAATTATCAAAATGAATTGCAAACTTTTGTTTTTGTTGTTTGGATTTCTCAAACTCATCAGAATTGATAATTTGAGTAAGAACATTGTCAATTAGATACTGAGCATTCATCGTATTAGGTTTTTGAAGAATATCAATTGCGATGATGCCATTCACGCCCCAAAAAACCGACAACATCATCATTGGTGTGTCAATTTTTTTCTTCGGGAATGTTTGCGGATTTTCATCCTTCGGGATCCACATGATTTTGGCTTCTGTTGCATATTGAAACCAAGACTCGTCCCCTGTTACTAAAAAGCGAAACTTCTTGGATTGATACGCACCCAATATAGAGAGGAGCTCTTTCGAAGATTGGACTCTAGATTTTTTTTGAACTGAATTAAGGTTGTGCGGAACCCAACGTGTATACGCTAGTTTGTAGTTCAAATAATTGTGCAGATAATAACTGACTGTTGTACGTGGTATCTTTGTCATCTCCTCTATCCTTCTGAGTGATGCTCTTGGGTCTTCATCTAGCGCTTGAAGAATTGCTTTGATTTTTCTTTGATCCGGCGATTTTTTGTCAATTTTTATGATGGGCGCCTTTTTGTTCATGAAGTGATACATCCTAACATGATACGTTACAGTGGAATAGCTAGGAGCATCCATACCGAAGCATTTTACCAATGTCTCGTAGATTTTTTTACAGTCTTTGCATTTTTTTGCAAGAGCGAGGATGTTTTCTTTATGATTCATTAAAAAAATGAAAAAAATCCCGCCAAAATTTCCCGCGAAACCGCCTCTTGTCTCAAAATTCATTTTATATCCCGGCATGGCGCCAAAATACAACATACTCATCATATACATATATTCATATTTTTTATTATATATTTATAATCAGCATATATCTCCTTTAATAGTCTCATATAGAGCGCTGTGCTAAACGCACCTTTGGACACCCTATAGTTAGTCGTCATTTATTAATAAATAAAAAATCAAAATTAAAAGATGAAAATGAATTTTTAATTTTAATGAAATAATCAACTATGGCGGCAGGTATATTTAAGAAACTGTGGAATAGAGTAAAAAGAGGAGCGAGTAAAGTTTGGGAAACATTGAAGAAGGGGGCAAATTGGATATTTAAGAATAAAGAAGCAATTAGTGACGTTGCTGAATCAATAACACCAAAAGCTGCCCCAATAAGAGAAGTTTTAAATAAAGGAGAAAAAGTTTATCAAAGACTACAACCGATACTAAGATAAAAATAATATTTATTTTTCCACTATCTACCTCCTATTTTATTAAGTATTCCTTCAGCAATTCCACCAACTGCGTTACCTGCTTGTGCTCCCATCGCTGGATTACCTGCTTTAGTACCTAATACTCCACCTATGATAGTTCCTGCCGTTTTCGCTACTGGTGCCAAAAAGTTTGCAACGGGTTTAATAATCTTTTTATAAACCCAACCCGCAGCTTTCTTAATTCCATCCCATAATTTTTTAAAGAATCCTGCCGCCATTTCTGATTTAATATTAATTAAAAAAATATATTTCATCACTTATATTCTAATTTTTATTTAATGATAAATGAAACCGATTTTAAAAATAAATGAAACAGAGGAGGAAGAAATAAATGAAAGTGAAAATGTTCAACAAAAAATAAACGTTGTTAAACCAATTACTGAAATAAAAATTTTTTCATCTGTTGAAGAATTTAATGACTATTATGCTAATAATAAAAAATTATTTGAAGAATTGACAACGTGTAAATTGAATAAAATGTTTAAAGTTGATGGATTCAAAATTTCAAAAATAAAAGGAGTGGTTAGTTTGAAATCTATTCCTCAATCAAGAATCACCTCATTAATGAAAATAGATGATTTAACAAAAAGAATAGAAGAGATTGAAGAAAGAATAAATCAGATAATTGATATCATAAATTCAAATAATCATTAGTTTCTTAAAGTTCAATGTTGAACTCATCAAATTCTTCTTCATCATTACCATTACCTTTAGCGAGTTTATTTACTCTTTCAACTTTATCTTTTGATAGTCTTTCGTTTAATTTTTTCTGAAGTTTTTCGTTACCAAGTTCTAAAATTTTACATGGATGATATTTAAACCCGTTGCAAACTTTTTGGCACCAGTAGCGAAAACGGCTAAAAGATAAAAAATAAATTATTTTAAAATTAATGTTAATTTTTTTAATGATTTATAAATAAATATATTTTAATGCATCGTCTATATTTAGATGTAACAAAAAAAGTCACTAAACCCGTCCTCATATACTACTTACTTACAAAAAAAACATTGAGGAAAATTTTGTTTAATTTTTAATGAGTGTTATTAATTAATGTCAAACGACTGAGAAATAATCCATCAAATAATTTAAATAGTCAGATAAATAAATATTATGAGTATCCCGACCAAGGAAGAGCAAGCAGAAAGGCTTAAGAATCTCGAACGTACAAGCAGCATTTCCGTTGAGGATGGAGCATACATCATATCCGCTAAATGGATGATCAATTACAAAGCTGCGATCGGATTTAATCAGTTCGACCCAGCAAACGTCGAAGTTGGTCCTATCGATAACTCTGAGATAGCAGACCCAGAAAACAAATCCCGCGTTGCCAAAACGAAGGGAGAAAACACTGATTTTTATATCGTCGATAAAACAGAATGGGATGTCCTTTACGGCTGGTACGGCTGCAATAACATCATTAAACTTGAAGTTGTAATGGATGAAGTCGAAAATAAGCCAATTTCTATTGTCTATTACCAGAAATTGACTGTTGTTTATGGTGAAGAGAAAAAGGATATTGAAGTCCATAAATACATGTATGCCAAGGATATACTTGCCAAGGCACGAGAACTTTTCAATATCCCTGCTGATAAACAGCTTCAACTCATCGATTACTTAAATGGCAACTACGTGGCATTAATGGATGAAGATTCATATCTCAAGCGTTACAACCTCATCGATGGCCAGCTTATTGCTGTCAACTACAAAGACGAAAACGACGAATGGAAGATTAAAAAACCAACTCAAGTAGAATACCTCACAAAGCTTGCCATGGGCTCTACACCAACAACAGCAGCTTCCACTACAATGAGAAGTCGCTACGGTTACGACGAAGGCAAACCAGGCCGTCATGGCTTTAATAACCTCGGCAATACATGCTACTTCAACAGTGGTACGCAATGTCTCATGCACACCATGCCGCTTATCCAGTATTTCGTCGATGGCCGCTGGGAACAATGGATAAACCGAGAAAACAAATTAGGATCTCATGGCTGCCTTGCCACAGCATTCAACTCCATTTGCCAGCAGATGTGGAGCGATAATACAAGCGGCGCGATCCGTCCAAGCGAACTCAAGGCCGCAATTGGAGGTTTTAATTCTCGATTTTCCGGTTACGAACAGCACGACAGCCACGAGCTTATTCTCTTCATGCTCGACGGCATCCACGAAGACTTGAACCGCTGCAAAGTAAAGCCACAAGTCGAGCCAGTCATAGGAGATGGAGCAAATGACGAAGCCATCGCAGACGAGTCGTGGAAGAGGTGCAAGCTCCGTAACGATTCAATTATTGTCGACCATTTCTACGGATTACTTCGTTCTCAACTACTTTGCCCGAATTGTCAAAAAACAACTGTCGTTTTCGATCCATTCTTAACAGTCGAACTACCTCTCGCAAGGGAGAACGAGCGTAAAATACACGTCAGCTTCATTCCAAAGGACATAAAGGCCAAGTGGACAGAATTTAACATAAATATTCGCACATCAGAAATCGCAAACGTCAATCTCATCTCCAAACTTGTTTCTGAGAAGCTCGGCAAGGAAGTTCTCTGCATTCCAGCCGCTTTGAACACAGAAAACTTCTCAATCAAGTTTGGCTTCCCAGATACATACGAATCGAGATTACAAGCTGTTGTTTTCGAGATAGACTCTCAAGACAAGTTCTACGTTCCAGTATTGATCGTAGGAAGTGTTGCATCTCAATACAACCCTAACTACTTCAATGCTCAGCCAATTACACCACCATTCTTAATCGAAGTCGACGATCTATCTCTCGAAGAAGACAAATACAAGGATATCGTTCTCGAAAGACTCAAACCAGTATTAGATACGAAATCTGAGATAGAACTTACAGAAGATGCAAAGAACTTCTTGGCCAGAATCAAGAAAGAGCCTGAGGAAGGTCAGGAAGCTCCAGAATTCGCAGTTAACTTCCAAAAAGATTATTGGAAGAATGTTCAGTCTCCAAAGCCATCAAAACACGTCAAATGTGCATCAGCAAACGGTGTTGTTGTCACCGCTGATATTTCTAAGCTCGATATGAACGTTCTCGTACAAAATGTTCCATCAAACGCTTACGGCTACTCTTCTAAACATACTTCGACAGATACGATACCTCTTGACAGGTGCTTCAACCTTTTCAGTACGGTTGATACACTTGACGAGCAGAATCAGTGGCATTGTCCTCATTGCGGCCAATTTGTCTGCGCTGACAAGAAGATGGAGATCTGGCGCTGCCCAGAAGTACTTGTCATCCACTTGAAGAGGTTCTCCGGAGAGGGATACTACGTAAAGAAGGATTCGACACTTGTTGACTTCCCCGAGGAACTTGACATGGCTCCTTACATAAGAGGAAAGACCGACCAATCAACTCATTACAAACTTTACGCTGTTTCTGAACACATGGGATCAATGGGAGGAGGACACTACATTGCACACGCAATTGTCAATGGAAAGTGGTACAAGTTTGATGACTCATCTTGCTACGAATCTTCTTACGAAGACGCTAAGTCTCCTCTTGCTTACGTTCTCTTCTATCAGAGAATTGACAAATAACTTTTTTTCTTATTTTATTGTTATATCGATTGGTTAGAAATAAATCATCTCTCTATATAAAACATTGTATTCATTCAATGAATGTAGTCTTTATATAAAACAGATACATATTGCTATAGTTCTTCTATTTACATAGACTGTCTTTATCTATATATTTTCGATACATCTTCTATATGGAGGTGCTACATTTTCATGGGTTAGTCTGTATATAGGTAATATCTCATAATGGGAATATATAGGAATTGAAGAACATATCCATTTTATCTTAATATTAATATTCAAGATGAAGTAAATAATGATGATTTGAAGCATAAAAAAACATTTATTCGAAATTGATATGTTGATTGAATCAATATAAGAAGAAAATCTGTTGATTTACCATCTTGGGAAAGACTTCTTGCCGTTCCTCTTCTTGCTGATTCCACGAATGAATGTTGACTTGTTGTGCTTCTTCCTGTTCTTGATAATATCACGAATACGTTCTTTATCGAGAATCGACTTCTTATTCTTACATCCTTGAGAAACATTATCTTGACCAATAACATAGTCACCGATTGTGATATCTTCACTGTCATCAATATCACTATCATTATCATTATCGTTATTATTATCATTATCGTTATTATCATCATTATCGTTATTATCATCATTTTCTTCACTGAATGAGAATAAATCTTCACTATTCATTGTTTCTTCTTCTTCCTCTTCCAATTCTTCAACAACTTGGTAAGACTTGAATGTCATGAATAAAAATGAACTGATGTGTTTTTATTCTTAAATTTATCAATTTTTTTTTGATTCTCAAAATTTATGACCAAAAAATCGAATGTTGATGTTCCATAAAAATTTTCTTTTCAAACTAGATATAAACACACTCACCATTTTTAAAATTTGAACGTAACCCAAAATTTGAATAGTGATTCATTTTTCCATATTTAAGGTTTGTATAATTTTCTTCAAAAATAAATATATTGAAACACTAGTTTCCACGAAAATTGATTTAGTACTAATGCTTTGATATATCTTGATTCTTTCTAGACCATGTCTTCCATACAATTCGAATTTCGGGTACCAAGAGGAGTTGAAAGCTTCCAGTTACAAAGTGGAATATGGCTTATGAAGATATGGGGAGCCCAAGGAGGTTCCTTCAACTCTTCCGGGGGCCATGGTGCATATTCCGAAGCAATCTTGATATTAGATAAAATAACCACACTTTACGCATATGTTGGAGCACAAGGAAAGTGTGGCCATACAAACTTCACGACAGGACCATTCCAGGGCGGTCCAAATAAAATATGCGATTTCGATTCATGTACAGGTGGCTCCGCTACCTTTATTTCGAGAGATCCATTTGGGAAAAACATTCTCCTGATATCTGGTGCAGGAGGTGGATCTGGATATTGCCTTGGTGAGTTTTTTGGCGGTGTTGGCAGTCCTTTTGCCGGAGATGCGCTTGGAGATGCAACAGAACTTCCAAAAGAAGATGTGAAGAAAGTCAGAGGCAAAGGAGCAACGTCAACTAGGCCTGGATCTGGCGGAATCTATATAGGCAATAAAAATTATGGACCTACCCAAGGAATAATCGGAAATTATTTGAAAGGTGGTGATGCAAATTGCAGCGCCTCTGGATCGGCTGGGGGCGGTGGAAGCGGGTATTTCGGCGGTGGCGGTGGTGCAGATCTGGCAGGTGGTGGTGGTGGGAGCAGCTACGCATCGCCAGATCTGTACAACGTCATTTTACTCGGTGGTGACAAAACATTCAATTCACCGAGTGGAAATCCCGTCATCGGCCACACTGGCGATGGTTTCATCCGAATTGAACCATCGAGTCCTTTCACTCTTGAGAAGAACACCATTGGCTGCAAATGTTCTTACCAACGAAATAACTTTATTTTATACTCTGCTCATCTTTTCAGCATTGGATTGGTCTCTCTGATGTTTGCATAATAAAAGTAGCATATTATAAAACACGAAACAAAAGAATTATATTCATACCAAAACTGAAATAAAGTTTATCATACTCTATTAATTAAAAATAAATATTTGTAAAAATATGTGAAGATTTTTCCATATTCATTGAACAATTCATGCTTTATATGTTAAGAATTAGAATTGATGATTAATTATTCTTGATTCTTTGACATATAAAAAAATTTGAAAATTGTATCTTAAATTGGAGAGAATTTTGCTATATTTATAATAAGTGTTTTATATATGGCTTGAAAACAAATTTTTTATTCATAGTAAGAAAATTTTTATGGAACATCAACATCCGACTTTTTTGGTCATAAATTTTGAGAATCAAAAAAAATTGATAAATTTGAGAATAAAAACACATCAGTTCATTTTTATTCATGACATTCAAGTCTTACCAAGTTGTTGAAGAATTGGAAGAGGAAGAAGAAGAAACAATGAATAGTGAAGATTTATTCTCATTTAGTGAAGAAAATGATGATAATAACGATAATGATAATAATAATGACAGTAATAATGATAGTGATATTGATGACAGTGAAGATATCACAATCAGTGACTATGTTATTGGTCAAGATAATGTTTCTCAAGGATGTAAGAATAAGAAGTCGATTCTCGATAAAGAACGTATTCGTGATATTATCAAGAACAGGAAGAAGCACAACAAGTCAACATTCATTCGTGGAATCAGCAAGAAGAGGAACGGCAAGAAGTCTTTCCCAAGATGGTAAATCAACAGATTTTCTTCTTATATTGATTCAATCAACATATCAATTTCGAATAAATGTTTTTTTATGCTTCAAATCATCATTATTTACTTCATCTTGAATATTAATATTAAGATAAAATGGATATGTTCTTCAATTCCTATATATTTGCATAATGAGATATATCCTTTAACTAAAGGCAAGTTGTAAAAATTTTCTATTGTATGGAAAACAATTTTCATTAGCAAGTAGAATATCATCCAGAAACATTAATTGGCAATAAACTTCTTTCCAAATATGAAGTGACCAAAATATTATTCACGAATCACAATTGTATTAGATTTCACAATCTTGTTCAATCTTTATTTTTTTAACGATAAAAGATGAGGTGCTGTAGAAGTTTTTGCAATATCAGAAAGAAAAGTTATTTTATTTGATATACCTTTTAGAATTAGTAAGCAGCTTTCGTTATATCTAGGAAATGTAACAGATCCTGCTCCTGATGTTGACATAGTTTCAACACATGAGTCAGAAATAGATAAAAGAAAATCTTTATTAGAATTACAAAACATATAAACTGCTATGTTATTTAAAAATGTGCAGTGATCGACATAAGTTATGTGATCACAACAAAACAGCACTTGATTATTATTGATTCCGCATTTATTTCCAACAACAATGCAGTAAGAAACTGTTTGCTTATATAAATATCTATTTTCAAATCTAATTGATTCACTCTCGGTTTGATTGTTTCCTTCAAAAATGGAAAAGTTGCAAATCCCAGGATCATAAGTTCTTAAAGAATATAATGATGATCTACCAATGCATCTGTTACTTGTGATATTATTATTCGAAATGCTATTATTTCCATAAACTATAGCAATCGTCCATGTTCCTATTGATTCGTTTTCCCCACATTTAGAAACTGAAATATCGAATGCATAGTTTTTACAGGAAGAACCGGATTTAACAGCTTGACCAAATGCAATGCAATTTTTTGCTTTTGATGAATAAAAATTATTTCTTCGTTGAACAAACTCTCCATTCCAGAAGCAGTTAAAAAATAGAGATCCACCTTGAGAATCTGAACTGCAGTTTTTAAACGTAGATTCTTCTAGTAATGCACATATTTCATTATTTCTTTCAATTCGAATTGCACCTTTTTCTTTACAATCTTCGAAATCACATGAATTAATATAAAAATTGCTAGTGCCTGTGCTATTATATAGTACTTTTCCATCAAGTGTCTGAGTGACTTTTTCTGTGGTACCAAAATACTCATCCCAGCTGAATTTTTTTTTGCATTTTCCAAAATTAAATTTTGTTTCGATATTTATCGATGAAATAATATTATCATTTAACTGATTATGACTATTTACCATTGATTTCGATATTCGAATCTTGATTGTTCATGAAATTTTGTTGCCAATCTCTCAAAATTTATAAAATCTTCCTTTATAATGCATTACGGGCGTGAAGAACCGTTTAGGCAAAGAAATTTATTAAAATATGAATTGCAATTATAATTCCTTTAGAACATAATCATATTTTTTTGAATGATACTCAAAAATTTGAAAGTCCATTCATTTTTCACAAAAGAAATTTTATACGATATCGCCCAAGTATTCACATATTCACCACTCGCGTTCAAATCAAAATCAGAATACTAATTTTTGATTCATGTTGATTCTTTCTAAACTATTTCTTCAGTAAATTATGAATTCCGAGAACCAAAAGGAGTTGAAGCTTTCGAGTTACCAAATGGAACATGGCTTATTAAGATATGGGGAGCCCAGGGAGGTTCCTTCAGCTCTGAGGCCGGTCATGGCGCATATTCCGAAGCAATCTTGATATTAAATTCACAAACTACACTTTATGCGTATGTTGGCTCAAAAGGACGTTGCGGTTATCAAAATTTTATTACAAGTCCCTTCGAAGGAGGCCAAAATAAAATAAGTAGTATCGATCGTATTAGTTCGTGTACAGGTGGCTCAGCCACATTTATATCTAGAGATCCACATGGACAGAACATTCTCTCTGATATCAGGGGCGGGTGGTGGATCCGGATATTACACTAAAGAATTTTTTGGCGGTGTTGGTGGCCCATTTGCAGGAGATGCATTGGGCTCTGCAGGAAATGTTTCTCCACAAGATGCGAGGAAAGTTCGTGGTAAAGGTGCAACAATGTCCAAACCTGGTGAAGGTGGAATCTATGTAGGAGATGGTAGATTTTCTCCAATCAACGGGACGATAGGAAAATATTTGAAAGGTGGTGATGCAAATTGCAGCGCCGTTGGATCGGCTGGGGGCGGTAGAAGCGGGTATTTCGGCGGTGGCGGTGGTGCAGATCTGGCAGGTGGTGGTGGTGGGAGCAGCTACGCATCGCCAGATCTGTACAACGTCATTTTACTCGGTGGTGACAAAACATTCAATTCACCGAGTGGAAATCCCGTCATCGGCCACACTGGCGATGGTTTCATCCGAATTGAACCATCGAGTCCTTTCACTCTTGAGAAGAACCTCATTGGCTGCAAATGTTCTTGCCCACTAAATAACTTTATTTTGTATTCTGCTCATCTTTTCAGCATTGGACTGGTCTCTCTGATGCTTGCATAATAAAAGTAACATATTATAAAATACGAAACAAAAAACATATATTCATTCCAAAATTGAGATAAAGTTTAAAATACTCTATTAATGAAAAAATAAATATTAGTAAAAAATATGTGTAGATCTTAACATATTCATTGAATAATTCATGTTTGATATGTTAGGAATTAGGGCTGATAAAGAATTATTCTTGTTTCTTTGTATAAACAAAAATTTGAAAATTATATCTTAAATTGTAATGAATTTTGCTTTCGATAAGATCACTTTGCTTATATCTAGTTTGAAAAGAAATTTTATTTTCATAGTAAGAAAATTTTTATGGAACATCAACATGCGACTTTTTTGGTCATAAATTTTGAGAATAAATAAAAAAAAACTTGATAAATTTGAGAATAAAAACACATCAGTTCATTTTTATTCATGACATTCAAGTCTTACCAAGTTGTTGTTGAAGAATTGGAAGAAGAAGATGGAAATTATGATTATGAAGAAGAAAAAATGAATAGTGAAGATTTATTCTCATTCAGTGAAGAAAATGATAATGATAATGTCAATTACAATAATAACGATAATGATAATGATGATAATAATAATAGTAATAGCATTAGTGATAGTGATGACAGTGAAGATGTCACAATCGGTGACTATGTTATTGGTCAAGATAATGTTTCTCAAGGATGTAAGAATAAGAAGTCGATTCTCGATAAAGAACGTATTCGTGATATTATCAAGAACAGGAAGAAGCACAACAAGTCAACATTCATTTGTGGAATCAGCAAGAAGAGGAACGGCAAGAAGTCTTTCCCAAGATGGTAAATCAACAGATTTTCTTCTTATATTGATTCCATCAACTTATTAATTTCGAATAAATGTTTATTTATGCTTCAAAAATACATTATTTACTCCAGCTAGAGTATTAATATAAAGAATCTCAATTAAGATAAAATGGATATTGAGATATATATCCTTTAAATAAAGGCAAGTTGTAAAATTTTTCTGTTGTATGGAAAACAATTTTCATTAGCAAGTATGGTACCAATCATTCAGAAGCATTAATTGGCAATAAACTTCTTTCCAAATATGACAAAACCAAAATATTATTCTTGAATCACAATTATATTAGATTTCACAATTTTCTTCGATATTTCAAAAACACCTTTTTATTGTATTTCAATTCCTTTTTTATTTTTTTAACGATATAAGATGAGGTGTTGTTGAAGTTTTTGCAATCTCAGAAAGAAAAGCTATTTTATTTGATATACCTTTTAGAATTAGTAAGCAACTTTCGTTACATCTAGGAAATGTAACAGATCCTGCTCCTGAAGTCGACATAGTTTCAACACATGAGTCAGAAACAGATAAAAGAAAATTTTCATTTGAATTACAAAACATATACACTGCTATGTTATTTAAAAATGTGCAGTGATCGACATAAGTATTGCGTTCACAATAAAACAGGACTTGATTATTATTGATTCCGCATTTATTTCCAACAACATTACAATATGTTACTATTTGATTGAGGAAATATCCATTTTCAAATCTAATTGAATCACTTTCAGTCTGATTGTTTCCTGCAAAAATGGAAAAGTTGCAAATCCCTGAATCTCCATTTAGGTATGAATGTAATGAAGATCTCTCAATGCATTTGTTACT